GACACAGGCACAGCCACAATACCAGGGCTGGAGCAAAAATAAAACAAGAGGGGAACCTGCAGAGCCAGATCTGCTTGTGGCTACAAGGGGTGCGAGGCACCTGGTTATGCTCAGCATACTTCCACGGGAGAAAAACACAAGCTCTTTAATCTTGCAAGTGAAGCCTAACAAGAACAAATGGCTGGAAGGTGAAGCCAGGCAAATTTGTATTAGGGAAAAGAAGGGTACGATTTTTTTTAAGGCTGAGGCTGATGACCCTTTGGAATGAATTATTAAAGGCAGGAATGGGTCTGTCTTTGCTAGTGTCTTCAGATAAATGTTGAATACCTTTCTGGATGGTGTTCCTGGGCCAAACATGGTTCATTAGATTTTATTGGTGTGGTTGGACCTGGTCCTTAAAGGAGTTGCATCCTTTATGTGGTTATTTATGACCTTAAGTACCACACATTTACACAGGCAGGACATGGGGGTTTTTGTTTCGTTTTCAAGGAAATACAACAGCGTGATCCTGCTGCTCACTTTTGAACTACCAGGGCCGAAGGGGTTAAGCGTTTCTCTGTGACAGAGGAATAATTTTGAGTGTTGGTCATGCAAACACACTGAGGTTGGGAGAATGAACTATCAAAAACTGTCAGGATATGAATAGAGTTATCATATGAATGGATTTGCCCCTGGAGATAAAGGCAGCACCAAAGGCTGCCAGCGAGGCAAGCAGGGACATACGAGACACAGGACCCGACCGAAACAAAGAGCAGAGGTGTCAGGATGTCTCGATGAAACCGGTGCTCCCCAGAGTCCTGTCCGGCAGGACCCGCACGCGCTGATCCCACTGGGATGAGTGGGACGAGTCCCTTTCCCTCCCTCCCTGGCTGAGCATCTTTTGGGGCTGGGGTTCATTATTTGGTTTTTTGGGTTTTGTTGTTTGGGTTTTTTTTGTTACATATTTTTCTAAGCATTTCTCAGCAATCAAAAAAATAGGGAATTCCTTCATCTCTGTAGTAATTCATCGGGTTTTCAGTTGCACTTAAATTTGGATTCATCACATCTATTTCCACCATCACCAAAATGGGTGCCCATTTCTTTTCAGTGTAAATAAACCCCTCACAATTTCAGAAAATAAGAATTCAAGGAGAATGAAAAGAAGCTCACAGAGTAGGTGCATTCTATGTGCCGTTGTGTTATTTTTCTGCAAATTTTGGGATTTGATTTTCCAGAAGTTTTATAAGCTATTAATACAAGAAATATGGAAATAAAGATGAGACCGGAAACGTGTCCCCATGAGCCTACCTAAAAACATGCAAGTATTTGTTTTATATCAGCATTTTGGGAGCAATCAAAAAATTACACACCCCAAAAAATATTATTATTCTTTTTCTCACAAATATAGCCTAAAACAACTCCCTGCTTTAAAGTAATGCTTCTCCATCTCCCCATGACTGAAAGTCTGTATACCTAAAATCTCGTTTCCTATTCTTACGGGGGAACACGGCACCCTCGCAGCCTTTTTACAACTGAAAAAGCTATTTCCTCTCCCTTTCAGAGCTTTGCTTCTCCCGCAGCTCCGACTTCAGCATTGCTGCAGGAAGGGTAGAAAAGTAGCATTGCATAAACACGCAGAGTTTTTACCTCTTTTTCTGTTTGAGCAGAGGGGCAATTAATGCGATTACAATCGAGAGATTAGTGCGGGAGATTGCCACAAACCCTTCCTCCAGCCCCTGTTTCGGCAGTGCCGGCGAGCTGCTGGCTTTTCCCAAGGACCCTGGTGCTCTCCCGCTCTCCATCCCTATTGCGGGAAGGAACAAAACGTCTCCATCACCGACCCGGTGGTGCAGGGAAAAGGCGAGCACCCCTGTGTCATCGGCTCTGCGTTCCCCCCAGTCTGCTCCCTGTACATCACCCTGTCCCCGTTACCCGCTGTGTGCCTCAGTAGTACCTACACGCCCCAAAATACAGAGGGGGATGTCCCCAGGTCCCCCGTCCCCGCTGCACCGTGTTCCCCACGAAGGTACCACCGCGGGCCATGGGGTCCATGCTGGGCAGGAAGGTCTTCCACCTTGCGGACTGAGACAGAGGCATCACCTGAGCGGGAGCAGACCCCAGCAGCAGCATTTGAAGTGCCATTTTTTGGCGGAAAATACAATTTTGGCACCCCCACCCAAGCCTCAAATGTGGTAATTTCTGCTTGTCTGATTTTCTTTCAACACAATGTAGATTTTTCATATTTTATTATTTAACTTTAATTTGTGATGTCATATAAAAAATCCGCTTCAATATTTTTGCCTATGAAACTCGGTGTGTAATAGTGTAAATATTTTAGCCTACCACATTATCTTTATATGGTTGAAAATAACTTTTCTAGCTTTCTGCTCTAAAGCAATCTAACAATTTCAGACAAAATTTTTTTAGTGCTCCAAATGAAAGGCTCCCACCTCCTGCAAATTTTCACCCATCTAGAGAAAAAATCTGAGTTTTGACTTTCAATGCATTTTGCAATGCCGCCGCGCTGAAATGTAGGGATTTCCTATGGAACGGTGAATCCCTTTTCCTCCCATTTCCAGGGCACCCACTGCACACAAGACTGTAAGGAATAAGAAAAATAAGCTCAAAACTTTGTGGAACAAATATCTCAGGAAAGAGGAAGGCACTGGGAGCTCTTGGAAGGGGAAGAAAATCAGACTGAAGCTATTTCTTCAGGTTAATACGCATCTTTATATACCAATTGCCTCCCAATACGCACACACAGAGTGCAGCACACATTGGCCTTAAATTTGCTTTGTGGCTGTAATTTTCTACCCTGCGGTTCTTAAACAGGTGTTGGGTTTGCAGGGTCGATGGCCAGAGATTGCAGGACCAGCAGCAGACAGTGGCCGTGGCCATGGACAGAGGTCACGGACAGTGGCAGTGCGGTGGCTTTGTGCACCGCGGCTACACCCTCACACCGTGCCCGCACGTGCCAGGCGCCGGAGAAACGGCAGCAAAACCCAGCACAACCGGAGCGCGGGAGGCACTGGGGCTGTGCTGCACTTTGTGACATCTCCCCATGTTTTCAGTCCCAACCCATGCCAGGGCACTCAATGACGAGCGCCGTAACCATCCTGGTGCAGACACTGCCACCAGCCCATCCCAGCACCCCGAGACACTGGGTGTCACAGCCACATTTCAGCTGCGCTGCCCGTATTGCAGGGCCTGGCTGGCATCGAGCGGCCCTGTGATGCTCGCAACAGAGCAGTGAGCCGGTACCTGCGGAGGCATGAGCATCCTTCGGGGTGGCGGACAGAGTATCACCAGCTTTCTGTGGAGTCCCACGCATTGTCCTGATGCCACCCAGCACCTTCTGCACAGTCTAACCCAGATCCTGCCTGCCTGGTCTTCTCCAGAGCCCAGCTCATCCACAGACACACACATGCCACTAACCAAGGCTGTTATTGAGAGCCGCTTTCCTTTCCAAAAGTCTTGTGGGAAACCCATGTCTTTCCAAGCCAGGGACAGGCAGACAGCAGTCCAGGGCCTGGTTGTCCATACAGATATCACAAAACCCACCCCAGCAGCCAGTGATCTCCTCCGCAGAGGAAAGCAAAGAGGCCCCGGCCTCGCTTGTCCGTGCACAGGGTTAGCCACATTCAAGCGGGGTTTTGCAGGACTGCAGCATCCCGCACTGCGCTCTGCTTAGGGCCCGCAGCACAGGGGCACAGGGCAAGCAAGGGCTGGAGGTGTTGGGGAGCTGGGGTCCCATCCTGCACCCACACAGCCCATCTCCAGCACCGAGACTGCAATGCAGCCCCCGCTAGGGCAGGAACGTCAGTGGGGAAAGAAGCAGGAGGAGTGCCAGGAAGCGGACAGCTGGCAGAAGACAGGGTTAGGACCAGTAAATAGTGGGAGATAAGTAATACAGGTGAGGGAGACGGGCTGGGTGAGAGGGGAGGTGCAGGTGGATGTTGGAAGACGGCAGTAGGCAAAAGGACCCGGCCCAGCGGCGTGCTGCAAAGGGCATGAGGAATCGCAGTTCCAGCCCATGGGCCTCAGCATGCCGGAAGGGTGGCAGGGATACAGGGGCAGGAGAAGAGAGGGATGCCACCGCCACCACCGGAGAGGGACACTGGCACTGGGGTTCACTGCAAAGGGCTGCACCACTCTGGCGGCAGCTCTCAGGTGTAGCAGAAGGGAGGAAGAATGCTGCTGCCAGTGCCAAGGACACGCTTGGGAGCGGGAACAGCAAATCTCTGGGTGATGAAGATCAGCAGACCCGGGAAGCAGCCATGCTGCCGCTGCCAGCATGGAAGGAGGCAGGCGAGTGGGTGGGTGGCAGGCAGCAGGAGCAGTGCTGCCGAAGCCGAGGGGGGCCCAAGACGCCGGAGCATGGCTGCGCTGCTGACAAGGGCCGGAATGAACGTGGCTGGCAGCTGGGTGGAGCGTCTGGGTGGCAGGAGCAGGCCTGACGGCGCTGACACCAAGATGTCGGGAGAGGGTCCCTGGCTGTATCCTTGTTTCCCATTTGGGAAGTTTTCCAGCCCTTTCCCTCACGACAAGTTTCCCACCTGAGTGCCGTTCCAGCTCCCCACACCCTCCACACACCCTCCTGTGCCCTCTTGCTTGCTCCATCGCAGCCCACACCGCCTGGCCAGTGTGCACAGCCCCATGCTGCTGCCAGCCCTGATGATGGGGATCGCCGTGACTGAGCTGGTGCCTGTGTCCCTGTCCCCTCTGCAGCCACCCCTGCATGCTGCAGCAGAGCCCTTGCAGGTGAGGCCAGGCAGAGCTGGCAGGCATTGCTGCAGAAATCAAGTCCTCCTGCCCATCTCTGAAGTTTAGCCTCTGGTGCAAAAGCTCCAGGACCAGCAAACTCAGGCAGGCAGGAACCCGGAGCTGCGCTCCCCTGGGAGGAGGCAGAAGCTCAGCCCGGCAGAGTGAGCAAGCCCATGCAGACGCATCTAAACAGCTGCAGCAATCCTGCAGGTCCCCCCAACACTGCCCCATCACGCCAGGGCCACCCCAGTTCCTACCTTCGCTGGTGGTGGCAGAGAGGCAGGCAGCCAAAGCGATGACGATGGAGAGCGAGGATGTCAGGTCTCCCTGTGCCCATGCCATGGTCTGGCAGGGCCACTGGGCTCAGGACAGGGCCACCTCGGTCGTCCCAGAACCTCTGCGAGCGAGCGCCCAGAGCTACGGCACACGCCGGCTAATGCAAAGGCACTTTGCGCACATTGCTCGCATCCACACAGGCGAGCGGCTC